CGGTGTGGCATGTTCCTTGATGACAACTCCCGATGTTTTCTGGCCTGTAACCCACACTTCTTGCCCAGGTGGGAGTCTGCTGAGATTTTGCACATGATGCCGCAGATTATAGCTTTGTGCATCCTTCCTCTTCCTCTCCTTTTCCTTAAGCTCCACAACATTTTCATCTGGACGGTCAGGATCCAGTAGAGCAGGAAGCATTGGTATAGTTGTATGAATTCTCCTCCCCATGAGATGTTGAGCGGGTCTGCAGCCATTTTGAAGCAGAGTCGCCCGATATGACAGCAGGGCTAGGTAGGGGTCTTTCGCTTTCTTTAGGAGTCTCTTGACCATTTGCACCACTCGCTCAGCTTCGGCATTTCCTTGGGGGTATCTCAGGCTGCTGGTGATGTGAAGAAATCCGTAAACTTTGGCAAAGTCAGCAAAGGGCGCTCCTGAAAACTGCGGTCCGTTATCAGTGATTAAAGTCTCACAAATGCCGTGACGTGCAAAGATTGACTTTAAATGGGCAATCACATCATCCGCTCTAGATGGGGTCAAAAGAGCAATCTCTACGTTCCTCGATGCATAGTCCACCACTAAAAGGTAGGTTTTGGCTTTCAACATGAACAGATCCGCTCCGCACTTCTGCCATGGCCGACCTGGGTATGGTGTCGTCATCAGCGGCTCCCTGTGGTTCTGCCTCTCCTGACAGCACGTCCGACAGGTTAGAACTAGTTCGTTCAGCTGCTGACTCAACCCTGGCCACCACACAGACTGGCGTGCTCTCTCTCTGCACTTTACCACGCCTTGATGTCCCATGTGCAGCCTAGACAGAAGATCATTTCTCATAACAGCAGGTATGACCAGTCTTTGTCCCTTTGGCAGAAGACCATCTTGGACCGTGAGAAACGCCCGTTCACTCCAATACAGTTTCAGAGTTGGCTCTGTGACACCGTGTGTGGGCCATCCTTCTGTGCACAGCTGCATCACTCAAGCACACACTGTCCCTCTGCAATTGGTCTTTTAACTCCTCCAGGTACGCAGTACTTGCTGGTAGGTTTTCCACCACCGTGTTGACGTAGATGTTGGTGTCCTCAAATAGCTCTTTTTCATCTGTTGTCTCTTTGCTCGTTACTGGAGCTCTTGACAGTGCGTCTGCAGTCCACAGAGATTTTACCGCTACATGGGAGATGGAGTACGAGTAGCGCATCAGGCGCATTCCAAAGCGTTGTATCCGAGGAGGTAGAGTATCCAGTGCCTGCGATCCTAAAAGACTCAGGAGAGGCTTGTGGTCAGTCTCCAGCTGAAAATGTTTTCCAGTGAGGAAATTTCGAAACCTCTCACAGGTCCAAGTCAGCCCCAATGCCTCCTTCTCCACTTGAGCATATCTCTGTTCCGTTGATGTGAGCGACCACGACATGTAGCTCTTTTGGTCTCCATTCTTCGTCCCATCTCTGTAGCAGTACTCCACCCAGGCCATATGAAGATGCATCTGCAGAAACTTTACATTCTCTGTTAGGATCATGGCTAGGACAGGTGGCGCTGTCAGTGCATCTTTTAGATCCTGAAAAGCTCTGACCTGCTCGGCACCTCACATCCAGCAGTTCGTTTTAGAGAGGAGGTCTCGTAGTGGCTTGTCCCTCTCTGCCAGCTGTGGGATGAACTTCCCCAGCTGGTTCACCATCCCAAGGAATGATCTTAGTTCGCTCACAGTTGTCGGCACCTTCATCCTCTTCACTAGTTCCTGTTTAACTTTGTCCATTAATGGCACTGGGATCCTCCTAGGAGCTTTCAGTGAGAACGGTTGAGCCCCTGGTTTCAGCATTATGGCGTAAGGCTGTTGCACCTCCCCCAAACCACTGCATAGTTTTGGGTAGGTTTGTTTTAATGTCTCTCTTGTGACACTGTCCAGACGTGCAACAAGCCCCAACTTACAGCTCACAGGTCTTCCCAGCAAGGCGATGTGCAGGTGGCGAACCACATAAACATCCTCCATCTCCACTCTCTCCTTTCTCTGCAGCCGTAGTTTGACGACGCCCTCAACTGTCAACTGGTTTTTCCCAGGTCCCAGGAGTTGTTTTCCTGCTTTCTGGAGCCTGGGAGGATTATTTTCAAATAACCCTTTGAAAATAGTGTGCGGTATAACTGTGACGTCAGCGCATGTGTCGATCTTAAACATCACATTCTTATCTTGAATGTTGATGTCGACCATCCAGGGATCACCCTCTGTTGTTACGCTGCCGAGGAAATCCTCTTTTCCCTCCTCGTGTAACCTCATGAACCCCTTTTGAACTCCGACACATGCAGCTAAAATGTCCCTTTTTCCCACATAAGTGCCATTTCCCCTCATTAGCGGGACAGCCTAACTTCGGGTGTGATGGGGAGCATCCACATTTGGAGCACGTTGAAGCTGAGCTCTTAGCATTTAGTGCAGCAAAAGGCTTAGTGATATGCTGAGATCTATTTTTAGCAGGCTTACTGTTTTTAGACACCCTCACCCTGTCCACTGACTTTCTGTCTTCCTCCGGCGGGCAGGTGTCCCCTCTTAATTAAACTTGTTGCCTTTTAACCTCCTCGCTTTGACGCGCCACCCTGATAGCTTTATCCAGGGTGAGCTCCGCATCAAGCGGCATCGCTCTGACAGGCCTTTATCCAGAAGACCCACAACAAGCCTGTCTCTGATCAGTTAGTCGTGAAGCTCTCTGCACTTGCAGTGTTCTGCTAGCGCATATAAAGCAGTCATAAAAGAATCCACTGACTCTCCTTCCTTCTGCTTTCGCATGTTGAACCTAGCTCTCTCATAAATAACATTCTTTTTAGTTACGAAGAAGCTCTGGAAGCCCTCATGTACCCCACTATACATGTTCCTTTGAGCCAAAGATAGCGTCAGTCCTCGCAGGATATCATCAGCCTCATCTCCCATACATTTATATATCAGCGTGTTATCTTGATTCTCCTTGGTGCTATTGTTCAAGTTACTTGCCAGGCGGAACCTTTCGAATCTGCAGATCCATTTTTCCCACTTTTCCGGTTTCGTGAAGTCTAACCCCCAAATTCCACTACCTCCGCTCCGCTCCGGTCCGCCCCCGCCCTCCGCTGCCGCTCGCTTCCGAACTCAATTTTTACTGCTACCCGCTCTACAACGGCTCCGCTCCGGTGCGGAGACCTGAGGTGGGCAAACAAGCATGCGCGGGATTTTCGAGATCTTGCGATACAGTCCGAGCAATAAACGCGGAAGTTAGATCCAAACACCCGTTGTGTGGGAGAAGCATCTGCATGAACTGTTTAATCTGCCTATCATTTGTGTTGAGAGATCAGCAGTGTTTGGATCAACAAAGTGTGACTACTTTGATAGTGGAAACTGTATTTATGGCTTACTTTTGTGCATTTAAACTTCAGCCGCCACTGATAGTTGTTAAAAGTTGTTAAACCTGTGCATATGAAACAAAAAACGCCTTTTGTTTATCGATTTATTGTGAAATACGGAAATTGTGCCCGCTCCTTTTCCTGTTGGACGGTTGTGATTTCTGTCCATTTACTGCGGAGGTGCTCAGGCATCCGGCGAAAATAGGATTGATTCTATTTTTGCCGGATGCCGGAACAGAGGGCAGCGCACGGCGCCGCACTGCCGGAGCACGGCCGCAGTAGTGGAATTGCTCTGATTGACTACAACGGGACCGATTTTGCTCCGGCGTTCGTGTCGGAGCAGAGCGCAGCGGAGCGGAGGTAGTGGAATTTGGGGGTTAGGCCTCTGGCGGCTGGATGTTAAACGTAGCACTTGGTCCTGGACTCGGTCCGGCTGCGACCCTCTGTCCCGGCACAGCTGCTGCTAGCTGTTGGCTACTGCTGCTAACGTCTTCCCCTTGGCTCATTCTGACCTCTTGCCGTTGAGAAAAAAAAAAGAAATCTTTCAACATCCGTTCTCTTCGGTCCACGTTAGCACAGGACTTCTGACACCATGTTGCGTTATTAAAACACTGCGTGAGCTCAACTGCGGCTTTAAAGTGGCTTTATTTTCTCACTGCATGTCCCCATAACATGGCCACAGTCTCCTCTCCCTAGTCACCCTGCTGACGTCATAGCCAGTCGCCTGTAATCCACAGCATAACATAACATTACACCACATCTCCATCTCCAACAAGTCTCACATCCTAAACGATCTGTTCTGCACCGAAAAATTAAACTTTTTATGGATTTCTGTGCCGTGGCAGTGCGAAAATGACGTCACTCATCTCTGTGAGCTCTGTCCTTAAGACTACTCTTTCTTCTCTGCTCCACGGACCACAGGCCGCGGTGGAGGAACAGCTGTTATCTTTAAAAAACACTTTTCATGCCAAATTATATCCTCAAGCTCCTACAGCTCATTTGAGTTGATCATGATTAAAATTGGTCGAGTTCTACCAGTTTATGGGATTCTGGTCTATCGCCCACCTGGATCTACTTCATCCTTCCTGTCTGACTCAGGACCTCCTACTGTAAGACACTTAACTGAGACGCAGACAAAAGACACATGAGGGCGCTATGAGACACAGAAGGGAATCTAGAGAGGGTTGGAGAAACATCAGGAGACACATGAAGGAAGACACAGATGCAGACCATGACAGGAACCCTCGACATCTCAAAACCTCCTGGCTGTTCCTCGAACCAGACTAAAAACCAAAGGGGACAGGGCCTTTCAGACTATTGCCCCCAGACTTTGGAACAGTCTGCCTTCAAAACTCTGTCTCTCCAAAACTGTTTTCAAAAATCATTTAAAAACTCACCTTTTCATCCAGGCATTCCCCTGCTAAATATTCTGAAAGATTTCTTTGTCTTTGTTCATACCTTGACTTCATTTTTACTCCTGATTTTGTTTACTATTTTGTCACTGCTATTGTTTTTTATGATCTGTTTTTATCGGTTTGAGGTATTTGCCCTGATTTTACTCATGTTGTACAGCGTTTTGTGATTCATATCTGCGAAAGGTGCTCTATAGATAAACTTTTACTTACTTACTTACATTCCCCTATTTGGGATAGGTTTGCTGAGCCTTGAGGAGTTCAGACTTCTAAGCAACGATGCTTTCCAGCGCTTTCTTCTGCAGCGAGGGGTGAAAAGGAGTCAGCTGGTGCGGAACAGCAGGCACACCTGGCTGTATCAGGGCAAAGGGGCTCACCGGGTCCTCCAAGAAATCAAGGAAAGGTGAGAAAAAGGCATCATTATGTAAGATTTATTGAGCGACTTAATTTGTTTTCTTATTCAATTCTCCACCGTAGGGTGACTCGCCTCACTCGGGTGCCGCACACACTGGTGGACCTCAGCGAGCCTCTTCAGGTAGTTCGCTATGAGGAGGGTGGGCACTACCACGCCCACCATGACAGTGGACCCGTCTACCCTGAAACAGCGTGTTCACACACACGCCTTGCAGCTAACACGTCCACTCCTTTTGAGACGTCATGCAGGTGAGGCATTAATATTTTTTTTCAACAAAAATGCCCTAAATGTTCAGCTGTGAGATCATCTGTCTGATGTCATCACTGACCCGTGCACTGAGGCTTCACTGTAATTCAACTTTGTCAAACTGAAAAAAATGTCTGTGCTTTTCACTCCTTTGCTAAGTGTCTGTACATGTGTGCTTGTGTGTAGGTTTGCACCACACGTGTGTGTCAATTTAAACCTATGTTGCACACTAGGTACATCACAGTTCTCTTCTACCTGAACTCTGTTGATGGGGGCGGGGAGACCGCATTCCCTGTGGCAGACAACAGGACCTATGATGAAGTGGTGCGTACTTATGTACAAAGAGTGTTGCCAAAGTACTGTGAACATAGTGTGCACGTTTTTCCCACATCTGTGTTAAATCACGTGTTTGTCAGTGAGTCGATGTGACGGTCATCAAGATAACTGTCACTTAGATTGAGAGTGTGTTTTAGTGTCTTATACAGAATGATGTGGACCTTATGGACACAAGAAGAAACTGTGATAAGAGCAACCTGAGAGTGAGACCGACCAAAGGGACTGCTGTCTTCTGGTACAACTACCTGTCTGATGGAAGAGGTACCTCAGAGACTGCTTACTAAGATAATGCTGCAAATAATGATGACTAGGGACTTTATTTCATACTCAAAGGTTATTTTTATATGGTTTGGCATTGCGCTTAATTTCTGTTTAGGTATAAGTAAATAGGCTACTTCAAGGGTCACTTATAGTTTTCTGAGAAAAATCCCCACAATCTTAGCTAAGAAAGTCATTTTGCACCACCTATTATCTTTGTATGGCTGCTCAAATATGGGGGTAAACCATAACCAAAATTACCTTTATCAATATTAATAATCATGATGGAAATCAGGATTACTTAACATGACTACCCATTGAGTCGTCCACTGCATTTACTTTGCTTTGTCAGGCAAAAACACAATAAGAGCACAGGTGTGGCTCATCAAATAAGAGCGCCAAGCTCCTAACACACCTCAAAGGCAAAACTCTGTGGGATGTTCCAGAGTGTATAGTACATGCTGTCATCTCGTTACCAAAGTTTTACACCGTTATTGCAATAGTTGCATATTATTAATGGATATCTTTAAAAACATGCACTTAGAAAACACCAATGGGCTCTGTCTAACCCCCAAATTCCACTACCTCCGCCCCGACCCCGCCTTCCGCAGCCGCTCGCTTCCGAACTCAATTTTTACTGGTACCCGCTCTACAACGGCTCCGCTCCGGTGCGGAGACCTGAGGTGGGCAAACAAGCATGCGCGGGATTTTCAAGATCTTGCGATACAGTCCGAGCAATAAACGCGGAAGTTAGATCCAAACACCCGTTGTGTGGGAGAAGCATCGAAATGAACTGTTTAATCTGCCCATCATTTGTGTTGAGAGATCAGCAGTGTTTGGATCAACAAAGTGTGACTACTTTGATAGTGGAAACTGTATTTATGGCTTAATTTTGTGCATTTAAACTTCAGCCGCCATTGATAGTGGTTCAAAGTTGTTAAATCTGTGCATATGAAACAAAAAACGCCTTTTGTTTATCGATTTATTGTGAAATACGGAAATTGTGCTTGCTCCTTTTCCTGTTGGGCCGTTGTGATTTCTGTCCATTTACTGCGGAGGTGCTCCGGCGTCCGGCAAAAACAGGATTGATTCTATTTTTGCCGGACGCCGGAACAGAGGGCGGCGCACGGCGCCGCACTGCCGGAGCACGGCCGCAGTAGTGGAATAGCTCTGATTGACTAGAACGGGACCGATTTTGCTCCGGCGTTCGTGTCGGAGCAGAGCGCAGCGGAGCGGAGGTAGTGGAATTTGGGGGTTACAGCTTTTATAGTATCCAGAGTTCACATTTTAAGGAGATGGCAATTACCAACCCGCACCAGCAGGTGGTGTTCAGACATTAATTTAAAAAAACAACATGTAGAAAACAGCTAAATGAGTTTTCTAGTTGGTCAGTCACTTCTCTGAAAAAACATGGACAGGTGGATATTCTACAAAAGCTGAGTTTTTGTATAAAAATCCAGATGTAAAAACAGGCAGTGAGTCTGCATGAAAAAGTCTTTTATTCGTAAATAAATATGTCAATGACTTATTTAGGCTTGGAAAACAAACCATATGATAATGTATCTTTAAGTGTCTAATCACAGAATAAGTGGAAGTCATAGTTGAAAATCTTCTTTGACCTACATTTTACACCTTCTGTGTGTTTTACGTTTGTTCTGCCTTGTGCTGAAGTGAGCTTAGGGCTGTAATATACTTGCTTTTTGCGTATATGTCTTGTCTGCCTCGCGTAACAGTAGGGGGAGTTGACACAATGAGTGAGACGTATTTGCCATTGTCTCATCATCTCTGGATTAGAGGTCCGACATACTACGAGAGCACGTTTTTTTTGCAGTGATGTCAGAATTAACCAGCTGCTGATCTCTTCTATTGTCGCCATGTTTGGCCCAATCCCGATACTCGTACTGCGCCCTATGTTCTTCTGTGAAGTGCACTTGGAGGATGTGCCCAGTAAGGCTTCAAGTGTGGTACACAAGTGGCAAATATTTGCAGAATTCGGACAGGGAGCATTGCGCCATCGACTGCAACGCATGCCGGGATGCTGGTTGCTGTGCTACTTTTAAAACACATTTCTTAACAGATTTCAAACAAACAACCAAACAATTATTTGAAATAAATTTACATTAATTGCTACTTTGTCTAAAACATTCAGAGGATCAACTAATCGTCTTAAAATGAATTACTTTATTTGAAAATACATATTTTCAGAAAAGGCACTTGAGCCTTTTCTCCTGCAGCAATGGATTGTGTGTATAACTTGTAAGTCGCTTTGGACAAAAGCGTCTGCTAAATACATAAACATAAACATTACCTGAAGTGGAGATCATGGGTGCAAAAGGGGCGTGATCAATTTCCGCACTTGAGAATCGGGACACCCACTTGCACCCCTGGCAGGGATCATGCAATTGAAGGGCGCAAGCGTGGAAGTGTGAGTATTGGGATTGGACCTTTGTCTCTTTGCTACCATACAAATCCTGCACTCTATATGGTCTGAGTTCTGTACTGTGCCCCCAGTGGAATCCTCCAGTACTTCATGTCTTGCAGCAGCAATTATGTGAACAAGTTGCAGCCTGCTGCTTGATCCAACACAAGGTTATAAAGCAAGCATATTCCCAGCCTTAGTCTTCAGAAGGGGCAGAAGTTAGAATCATTTAATAGGAAAGACTACATGAAAATACACTTTCTAAGTGAACTGCAACAAAATAATTTTTTTCTTTTTGTCTATTACATTGTTTTCAAAGTTTGAATGCAAACTTGACTAATTGCACAGCTCTTGGGCAAGTTAGGATTATTGGCATATCGGTATTTGAAAAACAAATTCAACAAAAGACTAGTTGCAAATTCAAGCTGGACACCTTTAAAATGATTATTTTTTCATTAGGTTGGGTGGGAGTGCAGGACGAATATGCCCTACATGGAGGCTGTGTGGTCACCCGTGGCACAAAGTGGATCGCCAATAAGTGGATCAATGTTGATCCAGATTACCAGCGGCAGGCTCGCTACCAGCAGTTAGTGTCACAGCCGCCCGAAGAGGAGAACGACGAAGACCTGACTAGGAACACACACATACAGAAACCCAGCATCCATCAAGATTTGTAGCTCGAATGCCACATATATTTACATATATGTATATAAATACAAAAAGAACTCTTCCCAGTCTTCCTCCGTCATGTGCACAATGTTTTGGAACGATCCACTGTGGCCAGTTTGTAGATATACGATTTCAGGGAAAGAGGTCACAGTGGGCTTATGAAACAGTAGTTGCTTTTAACCAAATTATCTACTGTTTTATCCTTACTTTTTATTTTTTGAGTTGCACTAGAACTTCTCTGCAAGAGTTGTGGCTTCAAAGAGTTTTAAAGTGTGTGGGATTTAGTGACATCTAGTGGCAAAGTTTAGGATTGGAGACACCCAAATATCGGCTTTATCTTCCAAACACCTAAGAGAAAATACTGACTGCAAATGATAAATGGCCTGTATTTGATATAGCGCCTTCTAGAGTCATGGAACCCCTCAAGGCGCTTTACAACACACTCAGTCATTCACCCATTCACACACACATTCACACACTGGTGGGGATGAGCTACGATGTAGCCACAGCTGCCCTGGGGCGCACTGACAGAGGCAAGGCTGCCGAGCACTGGCGCCACCGGTCCCTCCGACCACCACCAGCAGGCAACGTGGGTTAAGTGTCTTGCCCAAGAAACACAGAAAGAATCTGAGAAGAGTCTTTACATATAACTACCTAGGTCTGACCCAAATAAAGTGATTGGTGGATATTTTGCTATTATAAACATGTCAATATGAATAGGAAACTATGTTTCTGCCACTAAATTTACCTAAATGTTCCACACAGGAACAAACATCTTTGCATGCATTACCTTGACACATATGCTATGAGTAACATTTGCACTGAAGACTTACGATGGCTACCATGACCAAAAGAAGCTCACACTACTTAAGTGTGATGTATGATGCCTTGTCTTTGTCCCTTTCACTTTACTATTATTGTACGAATGCACAACAAATTAAAATGCACAAGATGTTCAGGTTTGGTTTCATTTATTTATCAAAGTGATTGTTTGAAAAATCACATGTCTTTTCCTCACTGAATCAAATCAAATCAAATAAATGTTCTTTGTTTTTAAACAGTGTAATGTATAAACATCACCAAGTCAACAATAAAATAAAAACTTTGCATTAAAATACAAGTAACTCATCTTATTTTGTCAGTTGTTTTAACCCTTTGATGCATGAATTATGAAATCTTCAACCATGATTTTTTAAACAATTTTTGTCATTCATCTTTGTGTGAATGAAACAAATTTCAACAAATATCTTTTGTAACATTTTGTTAATTTACAAATAATTTATTACATGTCCACCTCAGTGGACAGCATGCATTCTGAACATGAAATATGTTGGCTTGACTTGCTGAAGTCCAAATGGAGGGGCTCAAATGCAATAAAGTCTTCAACAGCTGTGCTTAATAGCAAAAATAAATAAATAACAATTTTGAGTACCTGTCCACTGTAGTGACCATTATGCATCAAAGGGTTAACTTCAGTTTGCAACGTTTACAAACATTAACTTCAAAGAAGAAACAAAAAGTCACAGATTTTGCTAGATCTTCCCGATATCCTGAAGGCTCTAAAATTGTGTGCTGCTGTGTGGGTCCTGCTGCAAAAAGGAAAAAGTGTGTTAATCATTTTAAGACTGTTCATACATTTGTATGACTGTAAAATATCAGACACACTTTGCCCGTCCGTCCTGCACTCACCACTGTTGGGTCATATCTGGGGAATGACGTAGCTCCACGGTTGTTGAGACAGAAGAGCACAGCGTCATGAACGGACGCAAACAGATGATGCTTCGTTATTGTCTCAGAAAAAAAGTCACCATGGTCTAACTGTTCCACCACGGTTGCTGAGGAGAGTGTTTACATGAAAATGTGACAAAGATGAAGAAAATTACTGTTTGACAGCTTTATGATTTCACTTACCTTGACACCCGGTGACGTAGATATCCACATCAATCTCGCTGAAGTCCTGGAATATCTGTCAGCAACAGTGACGAGTACTTTATAAACAATGACAATAAAGTTGATTCTGATTCTGATAAATGTGAATGACATCAAAGTACCATCATTCTCATAGCTGTCAACATAGTTGTAGTATTACTACTTACATTTTTTAACGTCTTTATAGCCACAGTGTCAATGAAGTTAGATGGTGAAAGGTCAAGGATAATAGAATGAATGTCCCAAGTCCACTTGCCCAGAGACCCAAGAGAGACGCGCTCCAGATCACGACTCACGGTGTCCTCGTTGCTGGAGCCCAGAGTGGTGGTGTCTCCATCCTGCTCCTCTGACATCCAGTCTATACTGGTGCAATCTGGGTCGCCTCCTTTAAGATACTCCCATCTGGACTCACCATCCGGCGTTCGGGGAGTGGTCGGGATCACAAACACTGTCCCATTCTCCCGCTCAGCCAAGCCATGCCCCTCCTTGTCAGTCTCATCTATATTTGTGTCTTTCCAGCTTCCAATTTCCTCCTCCACCAAGCACTCCGATGGTCCAGAAAGCTGCTTAGCTGCTTTTTGTGCTCGTTTCTGAGACCAATACAGGAAAAGGATGGGAAAGATCGTGGTGTCTGTTTAATCCTTTAAACACAGAGCTGCTAAAACAGGTCCAGTTTTTCTTCAAATGTGAAATACATTTTGACAGCAATAATCAATATATCTGCCATTACAAAGACACATTTCCCACCTCTCTCCTAGCCTGCCTCTTAGCCCGTCGCTCAGCCCTTTTTTCTCTTCTTCTCATTTTGGCCTCCTGCCTCTTCTTATAGATAATCATTTTACTGATGTCGAGCCCACTCTAAAACAAAGAACGAATAAAAATGAATATCACGATTAAACTTATAAACTACAAAAGATAACAAGGAATGACTGCCTGACTTGTGAAAGTAGTGAGTTACTCTTGTACAAGATATGTGCAATACAGGAAAAGGCAAACAGAACTTTAATGTGATCTCTGTAAAAGAAAAGAAAAATTGACAATATTTATGCAATTTGACTTGACTTGTGGGAACCACAGCTATACATTTTTATGTAGAGAGAGACAAACACACAGACAGACAGACAGACAAACACACAGACAGACAGACACACAGACAGACAGACAAACACACAGACAGACACACAGACAGACAGACAGACAGACAGACAGACAGACCGACAGACCGACCGACCGACAGACAGACAGACAGACAGACAGACAGACAGACAGACAGACAGACAGACAGATAGATAGATAGATAGATAGATAGATAGATAGATAGATAGATAGATAGATAGATAGATAGATAGATAGATAGATAGATAGATAGATAGATAGATAGATAGATAGATAGATAGATAGATAGATAGATAGATATAGATAGAAACTAGAGAGAGAGAAATTCCTGTAGTTTACAGATTCTTTCATCTTCTTTTTGATCAATCAGATTATGCAGTAAGAATTAAACATCTGGGGGCTAGATATATGAAATTAATCAAACCTTTTCTTTCAGGGCGTCAAGATAAAGTTCAGCGTTTGCAAAATACATTGTAGCAGAAGAGCGGAATATAGTAACACCTGGGATTTCTTTTGCCTGTTAAATTCAGAAAGAACATCAGCGTTTCTATTGTGCAGTCAGTGCAGAAAAATACATTTATACGGCTCCCTACCTCTCTGTGTGTCTCTATATCCACATACAGTTCTGTGCCTGGAACATTTCCAAGAACCGAGTATGTTGGCCTAAATAAAGATAGATGAAACTTTATGCGTGTCTGCATTATGAAAGAATTTCCCCTCATGCTGCAAATCCTGCAGTCCCATATGAAATCTTGGATCCGTTGGATCCCGGTGAGAAATATAGAGCTAAAGTGAAAAAATGTAGCATGTTCTTACATCTGAGTTCTGAAAATAACTGTGAACACAGCAAAGATGATTGATGCAGCCAGACCCATATCCAGGTTGAGTAGCAGACTTGACACCCACGTGACCAACCAGACCACCTGAGAGAATCAGGATTCAAACTATGTTTTGTTACTAAACATGCCAGCTTGATGGCATTCAATGGTGATTTTAAAAGAGTGCAGAACACAGTGATCAGAATAGATTAATACTCTCACCAGATCAATCTTGCTGCTCTTCCACAGTGTAACAATGTCAGAGTACTGCTTGAACATGCCCTTTAAATTTACTAACACAATGGATGCAAGGATGGCCTAAAACAAAACAATCAGATCCATAAATATCCAAGATCCAATTATATGAAATAGAAATTTTATTTTAAAACAATCTGTAGTAACAGAAAGAAGAAAATGATCCAACCTTTGGCAGCTCTTGGAACAGTGGTCCAAGTTTTAGTATCGTAACTAAAACAATTAGAGCTGAGGCCACTCCAGCCATCTGCAACCAGGACAACAGGTTTATTATTATAGATGCACATTGGTCTGTTTAACTTGTATACAACTATATAAAATATCCGTGACACCTAAACATCTGCTCTTATTTGAAATACTATGAATTGTAATATTGTTTTTTGTTTTATACTCTTTGTAATATGTTGCTACTACAGAATAAAATACTGGGAAAATGTCCTCAAAAGGAGGATCTAGATTTTTATTTGACAATCCTCATTTTTAAAAAAATAAAATAAAATACAGAATAACTTTAGCTCATAAGATGTTTCCTCAGCCTCCTGTAGCTTACTCACTTGAGTTTTACCCCCGGTGGTTTCTTGGATCAAACTTCGAGACATGGAGGGACAGACAGAGAAACACTGGAAGAAGCCTCCCACTGCATTACTGAGACCAAGAGCCACAAGCTCCTGGAGCAAGAATTTGAAAAAAATAAAATATTGCCAAAGATAAACACAAAATGGCTCATTATTCAGACAAGAAGCCATTCCATTCACCTGGTTACTGTCAACCTTGTATCCGTGTTTCGATGCAAACGTTTTTCCAAGAGAAATGGATACAGCATATCCGACAATGGCCAGCGCAAATGCATCACCAATAACTTTTCTAAAAATGCTCACGTCTGGCACACTGGGAGAACTCAACCTGGGGAAGAAGTGAGAACAAACAGGAAATGATTAGTAAAGAAGTTGGAAATATTCAGATGACACTAGAAGTGGAGTGCCAACACCAGTACTTACCCACTTGGTATCTCTCCAACAACTGAAACAGTGTAGTTGGTGTTTAGGTGGGCGTAAGACGACGTCAATGTCCCTGCCACAATCTAAATCATCATAAATATTAGCATACAGAGGTACATTTCACAACTGTTCAATCATTAAATATGATCAATCATCTATCAGCCAGTTTGAACCTAATCATTAGCCATGAATTACACATTTTTTGCTGTAAGTTGCAAAATCCCAGAGGCCCCTGCCCCACCGCTGATTCAGCTACTGATTTCCACAACGTCTGTGCTTTTTTGATCTTCTTAGTGATGCAACATCAGCTTCAGAACAGAACACAGAGGTGATAACACAGCAAGAGACCAAAGAGTTTGTCCTCGTGTCAACTGACTGTGATGAGCTCCACAGGAATGGGCACCGGCAGCTTTGCACTGAAGAACGAGTTCAGCTCTTTGGCTGCAATCAGAAGGACAATCGTCACAGAACTGACAACCAGTGTGGGGAGATGCGTCTGTGGCAGCAGGGAGCAAACATCTACAAGAGTCTGAAAATGAAAATAGAGAATAAAGGATGGGTCATCGTTAGAAGATCTAGCACATATGGTACCGTTTTATTCAAACAAATACAAGATTTTTAAAATTGAGTGGGACATCTGGTGGCACTTGATGAAAACATATAAAACTTTTCAATTATAAAGGAAACAGGTAAAAAAAAAATAATCTTGATGTTACTTACATACACCACTGACATAGGTCCAAAAACCCGTGTTGGGGACACTCCAAAGATGTGTTTCAATTGTGCCACCACTGCATGTGCTGCCGCCGCGGTCGTGTAGGCCCTCACCAAAGGGTCAGACAGGTACGTCCCAACAAATCCAAACTTTACCACGCCTAATAACACCTAGAAACAAGTCATGTGTGTGTTTAGATATACGGGTAAAATGCTGGTCTTTAACAGTTTAAGATAACTATTTTGCAGGATGTTCTGTGTTGTAAACCTGAATGACTCCTCCTAAGACGGTAGCAGCAGCTGCCACCTGTACCCTGTAAGAGTCCCGGGCAGATATGTCCACCTCTGCAGTAAAGTTAGTCCCATTTCTTTTAAGGAAATCTTCATCTGGAGCAAGTCTCTCTGTTACACTACCCACCATGATGCTGAGAATGGTAAATGTCCCTAAAAGCGTTGAAATTTACAATATTTACATGAGATTACAAACGTTTCTGTGGTCACTCACGCTACAAAGTTTGTCTCTGCTGTACTGACCAATGGAAATATGTCGAGATGTTCCAAAAAAGAAGTAGACCAATGCAGGAAAGAGAGATGTGTAGAGACCAAAGACAGGAGGGACAGAAGCCAGCAATGCATACGCCATACCTATGGAAAAATTAGCTTTGGTAATTCAGATGACAAAAAAAAAAAAGAACTTTATGGGCTGTTTTATCAAATCAAAGAAAAATAATTGGTTTATTGTTAATGAAGCTAAAAAAATTCCAAAGTACTCATCTGAGTGTATCATAGTTCAGTTAAAACTTTTGATCTATTTTGGGCTACCTTGTGGCAGATGCATTATGCCCACACTTATCCCAGAGACGAGGTCAGGCATCCCATAGTCCCAGATGGAGTACTTGGGCAGCCAGTACAAGACAGGAAAGCTGCTCACCACACTTCGCTTCAGTTTAGGTACCGAACATCTGTGAAGGTACAAATACCAAGTTATGTCACCAGTGGATATTTTAACTAAACTTTAGATTGAATTTCTAGGTGGCTGCATTGAGCAGCTTACCTTAAAGAGTTTTTTAAACGCTCCGTTAGAGATGGGTGGATGTCTGCGTAGGTTTTTCTTTGTGTTACATCTTCCAATCTCTGCTCATCCAGGATTTCCCTCTCCACTCTGTATTTACCAAACCGTTGCCTAGAATCCATCGGCGTACCTTTTTAGTCTTGACCTACATCTACAAGCACTACTGTTAAAACTACAGCCGTCTGAGCTTTTATGCACCAGAGTACCTAATGTTTAACCAGGGCACTGTGGGCAGAGCTGCTACAACTAATGGATGAGCCACATTAGAAAATGGTGTGATTATTACCTGAAAGCGGAAAAAACAAAGACCAGCTGTTGAGTTTGGATGACTGCATGTTTCCAATCTTGGTGATTTTCTATTCAATGACAAAAAATTGAACGATGACTCATGGAATTTTATGTACAAAACTACTACAAAAGTACTATTTTTTGGGCTGCTTCCTCTAATCAAATAATCTGAAATTTATGTTATAATCCCTGGAAAGTCACCTGGCATAGAAACTGATCAAGTCAAAAATGTTGCAATTACATTTTGTTTCTCAGTGGGTCTTTAAGAAAGTGTCGTCGTGAAATCTGAATCCGAGGTGATGGCAAGGCTTTTATTACTCAGATCGCTCTGACCAACTTACTGCCGACAACAACACCGTCTATTTTGGGATTGAGGGCTAAAGTGGGGCAGCAGCACTGAAGGGGGGTACATACCTCTGCCTTGCGTTTGCTCAGATCGGTCTACGCCCTCTGACTTGCACATCCTGTAACACCAACAACTCATGTGGCCAGAAGAAAAACATGGACATTTACCAGCATTTCTAGTCAAAAGACAATTTGGTAAGACTTTTCAAACAAGTTGATGCATGGTGGGTTTGACTAACCTATAAGCTACATAATTTTACAAGATTCACTTTGTTACGTTTATGTTATGTTTTCTAAGATGTTTCTCTACGCTTTACAAGAATAGTTGATTAATCTTTTTTTATTGCTTCAAAACAAGAAGTAATAGATATTATTTATTCACACATTTTCTCAGTCACATATGTTTTACTTTGGTGAGCATATAAAAATGTTTAATGACATAGATTTTGTTCCTCAAAGGCTTTAACGGGGCCTTCAGGAAAAACGCTAAATGATAGTGTAAAAACACTTAACAGTTATTTTCACTGAGATGACCATTTTACATTAAGGCTCATCAGTCTTTTCCTGTTTTTGTTTTTCAGAAAAAACTTTTTTGTCTTAGTGGAAAGCTTGATTTTTTTTTTGTGCAAAAATTCAATCTGTTGAAATAGTTGAGAAAAAAATGGATCTTACCGCCAAACACGGGCAGGTGCTTCTCCAACAGCTGAGGAATATGAGAGAGGTTGAGCATCTGACAGATGTGGTCCTGGTTGCTGAGGGCATCAGCTTCCCCTGTCACAGAGTTGTCCTGTCAGCCTTCAGTCCCTACTTCCGGGCCATGTTTACATGTGGTTTGCGTGAGTGCAGCAACAGAGAAATATTCCTGCGTGACACCCCAGCAGACAGCCTTGCCCTCCTCCTGAACTACATGTACACCTCTAATCTTCCACTCACTAATTCAAATGTGCAAGGCATCTCCATTGCGGCTTTTCTTCTGCAGATGGACGAGGTCTTCACACGCTGTCATCAGCATATGACTGAGAACATGGATGCTTCTAACTGCCTTGGTGTGTTTTATTTTGCCCGTGATCTTGGTGCAGAAGAATTAGCTGACCATGCTCAGCGCTTTCTGAGGCAGCACTTTGTCCAAGTTTGCCAGAGCGAGGAGATCCTGGAACTAGAGGCCCATCAGCTTGGAAAACTCTTAAGCTCTGATGATCTCAATGTAACGCGAGAGGAAACTATCTTAGACGTGGTTCTTCATTGGGTCAAACATGACCCTCTGATGGATGGAGAAGTGCGTACTCCGCATCTACCAGAGCTCCTGAGGAAGGTCCGACTGCCATTGATAAACCCTGATTATTTAAGAGAAGCAATGAAGAGGAACGCCGAGCTTCTGGCTGATGCGGACTGTTTGGAAATGATGAATGAAGCTCTGGAGGTTGCAGCAATGCATCCCTCAGCAGCACCACGCAAACTTAAGCTGCGTTATGGAATGGAAAGCACAGATCTGCTGCTTTGTGTTGGAAATGACAGCGGAGGGATCAGGTCAAGGTACGGCAGTTATGCAGAGCGTAGCTTTTGCTTCGCCCCATCCACAGGTCGAACCTACTACATCACTTCGCCCCGCTATGGAGAGGCTCTGGGTTATGTGTGTGGTGGAGTTGTGACGGAAAGAAATGATATTATTGTGACGGGAGAGTTAAGTGCGCGCAGAATGGCCCGACAGAAAGACATGAACATTGAGATCTGCAGGTGAGAGTGGTGATTTGTTTTTTAACAGTGCACTGTTTGTCCTGCACAGAATGGTAGTGATATGTTTGAGTTTGCAGGTACAGAGTGGAGGCCCAAGGCAGCTGGGAGCACCTGACATCAGCAGAGTACCGTGACTCCTATGCTCTGGGATCAGTGGGTGATACTCTGTACCTTTTGGGTGGGCAGATGAAGTTGAAAAACCAGTTTCTCATCACAAACTGTGTGGAGCGATGGTCTCTGCAAGGTGGCCCCTGGCGAAGTGCAGCACCCCTCCCTATACCCTTGGCCTACCACAGTGTGGTCAGAATAAAAGACCGCCTTTATGTGTTGGGCGGTCGCACCCCACAGGTGCGACAACAAACTGCCAATAGTATAAATGTTGTTTGGTTTGTCCATTGAAACCTTGTGTTCTTCTTTGTCGTATCTCTCGTCTCACCTTCTAGTCCTGCCGCATGGATGATGAGCCCGATCGCCTCAGTAACCGCCTTCTTGAGTATGATCCAAACACAAACAAATGGATGGAACTTAGTCCCATGAGGTACTCAAAGTATCGCTGCTGCGCCGTTGTGCTCAACGGAGAGATTTTTGTAATAGGTAACTTTAGTTTAACAAATTATTCAAATTAGAAATTATATATTTTTTATTTCAATCTCCTGGCATACACACATACATGCAAGATTGTCCTAATTTTGCTAACCGAATGGCACTGTGCTTCATTGCAGGAGGTATTGGATGTGAGGATCTGGACCGTGGACAATCACGTCATTGTCTGGATGCTGTGGAAATCTACAACCCAGATGGTGATTACTGGAGAGAGGGTCCTCCTCTTCCATGTCCCCAGCTCTCACTGCGTACAAATGCACCCAATGCAGGAGTGGTGGGAGGAAAACTCTATGTTTGTGGATATTACAAGGGAGCAGGTAGAGAAAATATCCTTGTGTATCACTATCATTTGAAATTTTGGTCACGCTTTCACCACTGTCTCATAACTCCCCTCAGATCGTCATGATGATATAACAAAGGACATTTTGGAGCTGGATCCATGGGAAAACCGATGGACTGTGGTGGCTCAGCGCGCACTGATGCATGACAACTACGATGTCTGCTTGGTGGCAAATCTCAACCCAAAGGGACTCATTTCCCCACCAGCAGACTTAGTCAAACTGTGACATATGAACAAGTCAGATCAAAGTCTATGTAGAGAGGTCAGAGGGGGAAATCAATTATTAAAGCACTTAATGCAGGGCCAAAGGTCTTAGCACTATGCATGGAAAACTATGTGCTTAACGGCTTAATTGCACATTGATAGGTAAAAGAAAATAAATTTGTAAATATTTGTGTGTCATCTGTAAAGTATCTGCAACCTGCAGTTGTATTGCATGTATTTGTAATAAACTATTATGAAGGGAAACAGGAACTTCTGACTTTATTAAAAAATGATATACCAAATTATAGATTTGTAGTTCTAAGAGTAAGCTCTCTGGCTTTTTTACGACTACATATCAGGAGTTCAACCCATCAAAACCTGAATAAAAAGATGGCATGTAAATTCTGTTTAATCAAAATCTCTAAATTGGATCATTTATTGTATACCTGCTAAAGCAGAACAAAACGTGTTGTTTTTGCAAAAGAAATATTTTTCAAAAAGCACTTTTCTCTGAGCATGAATGCTGCAGTGTGATTTATGTCACATGTGTACAAGCTAGTATTATATGAATTAAGGAACTTTATGAAAATATGTTAAAATGTTTTGTTTAACCAGTGCCTAAATGTGTTTGTAATATTGGGTCACACTTGAAAAAAATCAAACATGGTTTGTAGTTTAGTGACAAAATGAGGAAAAAGTAAAGATTGCATCAAAACTTTTTTATAAGTACAATAACTACAGTATATTGAAGGTTCCATGTTTTTATTTGTTTTTACTGAAACATGGATCATCGAAATTGTTTCCCATTTACCAGCTAATTTTATTAAACACAAAAACTTTAAAATATTCAACATCAAATTATTTCTCATCTCAAACTGGAACAATGAATCTCGAATAAATAAATTCATTACAAATAAACAACATCTGCAGAGATGCCAAACTTGAAGAGTATTTTAAACCAAGAGCAATAGCAAAACAAGTACAAGGCATTTAAATAAGTTCATGTAATGTTACAGATCGTCACACTGTCCTTAACTTCCTTGTACTCATTTTTACACACTGCCAAAGTTCTCCCTCTATAAATATAATAAAAATAACTGCACACTTACATTGCATGTTTTTCTTAAAATGCTAGAATGTAACACGCAAGAACATTTAACCACAATAATAAAGGTTTATATAAATATTTTTGAGCTATTGTTCACAACTGCTCTAAGAAGAACTCAAAAAACATTACCACTATTCTGCCGCTCATGTTCTAAACGTCGTAGTCAGAATCGAACAAGTCCCACAAGTTTCCAGGTTTCTTTGGGGTTGCCATCATTGACTCCGCTGAAAGTTTCCCTAAGATGGGTTCGATTATGTTCACGTAGTCAGAGTTGCCGCTGTCCTGAGACCAGTCGCTCAGGGGGGAGATGAAGCATCCTGCAGTTACACTGAACCTGTTTCCTTTGCTCACTGGCATGACACCATCTGAGCTGCTTTCCTCAATGAATATTGTATTCTCATCACAACGCTCACGAAGCGGTTCAGACATGTTCAGTGGTTTGCTGCACTGCTTCCCATGTTGACAGTTTTTCTTTGACACTGAGGTCTTACTTATCTGTAGGGGCATTGGCGATTTCTTTTTACGCGTGTTGCTTCTCAGAGGATAGCTTTTCTTTCTAAAGCCATGCCTGTGGACTTGAAGGGAAGTTTCAACTGGAGGTTGTTTAACGTTGGCTGATGTTGGCTGAGTTTTCTTCAGATTGTTGGACACAGACTGCTGCAGTCCAGGTGTTGTCTGAACAGCACTGTCCAGCCACTGATCAGGGCTGGGTTTAGCTGAAGGTTTAGAAACTAAAGAGTTAAGCAGCTTCAGAGCCTCTTCAAGCAATTGTTTTTGTCCTTTATGCTCCTCCCTCAGAGACTCCAGACTCGTTGTTAAGGTTAGCAGCTGTGACTGAAGCTCTGCTGTAGTATCCACATGCTACAAGATTTTAAAAAAAAAAAGAAAAAGATTTGCACTCATTGCTCAACAATATGACCTGTATTTGTTTCAGTAGTTTATGATGCGTATATCTACATTATGAACTATTTACCTTCTGCATTCCATCCTCTAGCTCTGTCATCACCGCTTTGTGAGAGCTTAGTTTGTCTACCAAAGAGTCAAACTTCTGGGAAAGGTCTCTTTGAAGACACTCCGCTTGGATAGTGGTAGAAAAAAAAATCTCAACATATAGAAGATTTTAAAATATAAATATCTGTTAAAAGTTGTACATCAAAATAAAAGTAAACTTAGAGCTTTAAGTTAGCAGGAGTGAGTAATTTTGAGATAGTAGGCAAAGAGCACCACCTGCTGGGTATGACATGTTTTACATCCTGACTTCTGTTCGTTTACAAATTTTCTAAACTCATTTCATCCTGATCAGAGTTTTGTGGACAGTGAAGGCTGGGGTTGATTTAGCTAATCCAACATGAGACAATCAAGCAACAAACACACTGCAAACTCCATCCAAAACAAATTTTAATCTCCATTTAACCTAAGCTTGTTTTGCTTCTAGATAAAAAATAAATCCAAAAGAAGTTTAGGTAAAAGTAGAAAATATCCTTTATCGTGTCCAGTAGTTAAAACTGCAAGAAAAACAAACCAGCAGAACACTTACATGCTGATGCAAAAATATCAAGTTTTTTAAATAATGCTTGGAATGAAGCTGTATTTCTCTCTGTCCCGCTGACCAGTTGTTGAATCTGTAAAACACTACATGTTTTCAATATTTACAAGACAGAGGCTGTTTGACTGACACGGAATGGTTGTCCGTCAGTACTTACGCTGATGAGAGTGTCTCTGATGTTTTGGAATTCTCTGGCAAAAAGATCTCTTTTCAAGAAACAGGTGGTAAAAACCAGAACGACAATATAAATCAAGTGTAAGCGGTTATTCTTTGTTAAGAATGACGACTAAACTGCAGTGAGCTAAGAGGACACACCTGTCACTTTTCTCTTTCGCCTTTTTTATGTCCTCTTCATACTTCTCCAGTAAGCCAGAAGTTCGGCATTTGTCACCAAACAGGAGAGGTTTGGATACATATCTGCTATAAACCTTTGGTTCGCTCCCCTGAATACATGAAAGAAAGGAATAACTCTTCGCTGATTGCCATGAACACGAAACAATACGAATGAGGTTTAAAACAACAAATGCGTCAAAATAAAACATTGGCAGATGCAAGAAAATAAGATGTTTGGCAAGAACATGTATAATTTCAGGATCCTAGAGTGGATCATCCTGGTTGTTTAAAGTAGGATGAAGTCTGGAGTTTTGTTTTAAAGCTGTTATAACGGATCTGCAAACACGATCACAAAACACTCACTTCTCCCCTTGGTTATCTTCCCTGAGACGCTCCTGCTGGAAGCGGACACCCACGATGCCAGGCAAAACGAGATAGCGCTTAATACCAGTCACTGTTTTCTATGTCCAAACATCTTTTGTTTTCCATGACTTCAAATGGTGTTTTTCTTTTTGGGACTCTGGTAGTTTGTCCTAAAGTTGAAGTGGTAGCAGCTGGCTGTTTCTCCTCTGATGCTATTGACAGGAAAACCTCTCACACCAGTGGTGTTCTTTAGCTAAATACGCAAGTGCCTAATGAATGGAGGAC